TACCGTGAGAAATATTTTTAAAAAGCCCTATAAAAGATGAGAGCTTATGTGCTTGTTTAAAACTTATAATTATCCTTTAAGTTAATACCCTGATTAAATATCACTTTTTATTCTTTTTTGTTTTAGTTATATAGAAGACTTCATTCAAAAAACACGTTAAATTATAAGAAATAACTATGAGAACTCAGATAAGCAGAAATCGTTTGAAATTCTAAAAACGTTTCGACCGATGGATTGTATGTAGTTTTTATAGAATAATCGTCTTTATGTAGAGTACAGTAGACAATTCAAAAATACTGAATACGAAAAATACGTACTTACTCATGACTTAAGTTATGTTTCTAAAGTGCTTTAAAGGCATTGTAGTCAGATTTTAATGATTTCTGAGATTTCTCATTTATTTCTATTTAAATGTTTCGAATTTTATATAAAATTTACTGATAAAACAGACGTATATCTTAGTTATACGCGTTTAGCCGTGACATTTGTATGTAGCTTCAGAGTCAACGTTTTAATGTGCATTTTAAATTTTACCGATAAAAATCTTATGCAGATGATAATGTTTTGACCAATATAATAATTATTTAGACACTAGCATTGCCCGCGTGCGTGCGTTCAGATGACCAAAACCAAATTCTTAGGTTTTATATATTCGTATACTCTTACAGTGCAGTTTTTGTATTTTTTCTGAAAAATGAGACAATTTCCTGCGGTAAAAAGTATCCTATATGTTGACCCGGATAACCAGCTATCACCATACTAAATTTCATCAAAACCCCTGGAGTGTTTTTTCTGTGATGCGGTAATAAACAGCAACAAAATTCTAAAAACTATAGATTCGGCCTCTGCATCGATAATAATGTCTATTTCAATAGGGTTTTCCAAAAAATATTTAATGTAAAGATTGTTACTAACAATTTTATTTTAAGTATAGACAAAGAAATTTTAGACAAATACAAAAGACTTAAGACATAAAGTATTAAGAAACATATAATAAACAATAAAATATTACTTGGAAGTAAAGTCGGATACTGAAATACATCTAACTGAGGGTGTTTAGTCATGGAACGATATTAGTTGCACAAGTCAACGCATTCAGTATGCTGCGTGTGCGCATTAAACAACACGAGCGCATTAGCATTCCCAACTCTTGCGCTGGTTCTCATAGCCAAGCACGCGTTTAGTCTCGAAACTAAGCTGAAATGTAATTCCTATTGAATTTTAATATTAGTGTTACATGACATTTTTAAATTATATTGTACTAGCGACTAACAAATCGTCCCTAGTTAGGTTTTAACGTTTCTGTCCAGTGGGTTTCTCGTGATACGTTCCCAGACAGACAGACAAAAATTCTAAAAACCATGTAGATTCGGCCTCTGTATTGATAATAGTAACTATTTCAATAAGATTTTCCAAGAAAATATTTGATGTACAGATTCGACTCAGAATTTTATTATATGTATAGACTATGTCTAAACATTTTAAATCTGCCATAGTAAATTGTTTTTTATTAACACTCTCAGGTAAATTTCTAAGAAATTAATTAAATTTCTAAGAAATCTATTGTTAACACGCCGGCGTGTCCGCGGTCGTGGAGGGATTAATACGTATTTAAATAATTCAATAGTGGCGATTGTTTATTTTTAATTAAATAAATAGTAATGATGTTCTTAAAAAGCCATATACTGAAAAAAATGTTTGTTTCGATTTTAATATAAACTTCTTTTTGTTTCATGAATTAGTGAAATATGTTTTTTTGTTAAAAGAGACAAAATAATTCATATTTAAATATATTATGTACTAAAAAAATTAACAGAATAATTCATAAACTTCATTTTGCGTTTTGTTATTTAAGAATAAACTACCTACATATGTTATAGATTATCTTAAATAGTGTAAATTATAAGTAATATTATATCGTTTAAAATTTATTTATTTTTTTATTTTTTTTTTTATTTTATTTATAAAGCACACTAACAATACACATATAAAACATTTCTGATAATCTTATTAGTAATATAAATTAACTACCTGATATGTATATCTATAACAAGTGTACATAGCATTTACTTTAGATAAATAGAAGACATACGTTCAACTTCAACTTTTGACAGCTGACAAGTGATAAGACAATTTAGCGCGCCAGCAATTTTAAGTCAAATAAATGAAAAAAAAAAATAAGTTAATTAAACACCAGTACTTGCAGAGCGTAGGAAATGCGATTATATGAATAATTCATTCGAGATAACGACCAAAATAAGACGATTGTTCGCTTCTGAGAAAGAACGTTTAGGTTTCTTTTTAAGTTTGGAGAATGGTATAAAGTACACCATAGCTATATGGATCGTTTTTTTAAGTCTTTTCTTTTCATGGTTACGTCTTTTTCCAAATTTAAAAGCAAAAAAGTTTAACGAATTTACACAGCAAACATTTTAAATTTTCAAAACATTTTTTTATTTTATAGTTTTTAATCTGTACATTTTTCCGTCGGGATTTCAGCGTAATACAAATTTTCTTTTTTTTTATTGAACATTGTTTACAAAGTACAGCTTTTGAAAGGCAATTTTAGTAATAACATAATGACTATACCTACGTATAAAATATAGTCAGCGATATATAAAAGTCAAGAAAGTAACAATATAATTATTATTACGCCACTATAAATACATAAAATGCATACAATGTCGAAAAAAGGTTTAATGTTTTCACATTTAGATGTTTATATCATGATAACGAACAATTTTGTTGTGTTAAAAAAGGTATTTTATATAAGGGCATCCCAACTTTTTTTACAAAATATTACACAGCAGGTGCACACACGTGTGGATCTATTTTGTTTATTAGGAATCAGAAAAAATACGGTATTATTAAATTCATTGTCATCGACTGTTTAATTAAAGCCTTTATTGTAATGAATTTATAGAAATGTATTTTTTGTTACTAGGCATGTCAAGAATCGAAAGGAATTTGAAACAAAAGTTGCTCTCGTTAGTCTTGTAATTATTAAAGAAGTATTTCATTGGCAATGTTAATAAAACGTTCATTATATTTTGATGGTACAGTAACAACCTCGTTTAAATATTATTCTTTTTTATGATGTCAGTTTAAAAAAATTAAAAGCTTAACGTGATGCCGGACTATTTTCAATATTTGGAATATGTGGCTTCAAAATTCCTACGCGTCCATATACATAATATCTATAAGTATAGCTACTTACTTTAAAACGGGAGATTATGGACGTATAATAAAAATATGATATATATATATATATATATATATATATATATATATATATATATATATATATATATATATATATATATATATTAATAAAAAACATTTTTTTTATTCACAAAAAACGATAAGATGAAGTTATGACGTATATATTGTTAGCATTATTTAATGTTGTTATGATAGTTTTTTTATGTAATTACTTATGCCATTACATTGATAGGTTTTTAATTGTATAATAACACGATAAATTAACAAAAAATAGCCAAGGTAGGTCAACATTATTAATTAAATATTATAGGCATTATAAATAATTTCTGCTCCTGTTTAAATATATTCCCTACAGTACATTGGCATTATTATATGTGTCAGTGAACCTAATGCTCTAGATTTTCTACTACATTATAATAACTAAAGCGTTATTCATGGTATTTATTTAAAAATAAACTATTTTAATTTAGAAGTCAATACGATTATACCTATTACATACCTACTAGAGGCTCGCACTCGCTTTGCTCGGTTCACCTCTAGGAAAACAAAAACAAACCTATCCCACGGGAACCGTACATTTTTCCGGGATAAAAAGTAGCCTATGTGTTATTCCAGGCTACAATTAATCTATGTCTGTGCCAAATTTCATCCAGATCCGTTTAGCCGTTCAGGTGTGATTTTTTTAAATTAAAGTATACCTATCAAATATTTACAGGCTATTCAAAATATATTAGAAAATTGAAGGATTCTTATTTTAAAAAAGCCCTTTTACACGTGCCTTTTAGTTTTTATATAGTTTTTGTTTAATAATAAGCGTAATATATTTGTATCTGTGCCTAGATTATTATGTCAACTTTTGGCGGGATTATTTTGCCAAATTTACAATTCAAACTTTTTATGTAATAAAAAGTGTTTTAGTAAGTTTATATAAACGTTATAGGTTTTAATTATTTACGGATTAAAAACATTTAAAAATGGTTACCCAGTAAGCGATAAAATGCGTCCGACGGTAATGCATAACCTCACGTATGATGACCAAGTGTAATTTTAAGATAAACTTTGATTTATTATAATTAAGCGGAACGTCGATTAGATGTTTATATAAGTTATGTTATTCTTAGAAATATCCGATGTTAAATATATCTTTATATAAAATGTATTGGATTTGCATTTAATTCTGTTGAAATAAAACTGCTGTTGAAATAACGACACTATTATAAAAGTTGCTAAATCATAATATTATTAGTTAACAAAAGTTTTAACATGTTTCGAAAGTTTTTATGACTCTTTTGTTTCAGGTGCAGTTAATTTTATGGTTTAAAACTTTACTTTTGAGTATAAATGTCATTGTTTACGTGAAATTGTGTGTTTATTGCTTACTTTCAAAAGGTGATAGTACTATTAAAAACGTTTATGTAAGCCTACAGGATGTCTCAGTTTAGAATACTTGGCGACTATCGAGGCAGTCGAATGGATGCATAGCTCGTGTTGCGATCAGTTCACCGGAGACGATAACGTATTTAATTACATTATAAATTACTCGACACACTTCCCGAGCAACTGATAAGACGAATCGACGGCGTCGTATGCACGTAAAACTACGGATGTGGCTAGAAAACTTGTGTAACATACACCAAAACAAGACGACCACCCGCGTCATATCATAACCTAAAGTCTGAACTAAAACCGCGACACCGTATACGAAATACATACAGAAAAAAGTATTGAAGTATAGGCCGGCGACCTCTTAAAACTGATGGGTTAATTAATGGACATACCTAAATATAAGCATGGCGTCCACGCGCCACTCCAAAACACGTTCAAAAACGCACTGTTTAACACAACACGCATTACATTCTCGTTATCACACACTGTTGCTTGCACTCGCGTTGCACGTAATGTACACTCATTATTTTGTTTGGATCAGAGACGAAACGGCCGGTCGAGCTCCGCGAGTCAACTGCAAACAACAATGGTGCGTCGCGCGAGACCCGACACGCACACAGCAGCGCTCACCCACACAGTGACGCCGCCCATATAAAAAACCAACGATCGGTATGCAGACGTTCGGTTTGAGCAGGTCCTCGGCTTGACGCTGTTTTCGTCTGCGGTTCTGGGTGGTCATGTTTGTGAATTTTGTTTCCCTGTTAGGTTTTTAAATGGGATTTGCTATTAGATTTGGTTTTTGTTTTGTTTAGTTCTTTTTATGTATATATGTCTCAGGAGCTTTATATTTTTAAGTATTACGATTTTATCGTAAATGTATTATATTCAATATAATACGTTATTATTTACCAATAATAATCGTTGATTTCTTGAGTATTTATAGCAATCATTATAAAATATATTGATGTGTGTTAAATAATATTAGCAATAAATAAGTTATCGGTAAATAAAAATTTATCTGTTTGCACTTTTTATATTTAACATATTTTATTTTCTCATATCTGGGAAATATTGTGAAGATGGCAACATTAAAAACAAAAGAACGGCAGTCAGCGAACCTTGAGTGGGCAGGCGATACGATTCGAGCCTGCGCCCGAGTCAGCGCGCCATGTTGTCGGCGGCTAGAGAGGGATAACGCTTTACAATACTATAGCTATCTCACTCGCACGCTTGTTAGCGTATTGCGTGCTGTAACTATACTCGTCAGCGACTGTACCCAGGGCTGTCAACTTTTATGTGGAAAACGATGTTGATTTACACACTAGTACTGCTTAGTAGATTTGCTTATTTTTAAACTACTTGGAAAAAAATAGACGGTTGTTATTAATAATTAAAAACCTTACTAATAAATATTATTACGAGACATTGTTAGTATTTCTCTATTCTCTTATCACTTATAAACTTTAGTATCTTATCTTTGTATTTCATACTTCATACATTTTCATATACACAGTGTATACGATTAGGTAATTAATAATTAATGTTAAATATTTAATAATAATTATTATAAAACATTTCAATTGTTAAACATTTTTTTTCAGTTTAGCATAAACTAATAAAGCATCCAATATCTAAAACATATAACCACCAACCCTGCAACACACACACGCACATATTATCTTACAAAATTTATAACAAGTTGAATTTCGTCTTGGCGGACACTCCTAAATTCTTTACGGAAGGATTCTTTTTTTAACGCCTTAACTTGCTTCGGGGCGTTATAAAATTATAATGGTTGCTAATATGAAGTTTGTTTTCGGTACGATTTGTTTTATAACTGAATGGTTTCGATGAATGAGCTTAATAGTACCTAGAAACGATACGCGTCTGCGAAATGTAATCGCCTCGTGTTTTGGTCTGCATTTCAAAACATATACCTACATATAAAAGGTATAGATATGTAAAAATTAAATAAAAATATTTATATTCAATTTTTATAGGTAGCATTGTAGTTTTATTTTATTTTTATTTTTTCATATATCTGTTAATATTTTGTATTAATAAAAATAGTAATCAAAGAAAAATCTGAATATTTTTAATAAAATAAATGTAATTTTATATTGAATTTTAATCTGTTACATATTGACTTTACCTTGGGTGTTGACTGTTGACAATATGAAATTAGCATATTTTCGTTGGATGCACTTAGTAATTAATAATAATGTTATTTTTTGTTTAATATGAATTCTTAAAATATAATTTGCAATAAAATCTTTATCTTATCTTTTAAAAACAAGTAAAATTATAATGTGTACGGATTTTAAAAGTGCGCTAATTAATAAAAATAATAAATAGTAATATTATATGGTTAAGGAACACTAAATGAATTTACGCTTGAACAACATCTTAAAACAATACTAAAGTAAGTAGTAAGTACTAGGTATCAAAATTTAGTCTAGCTATTAGCTTTAACGGGTACTGTTTATGAGGTCCGAGGTCCTAAGTTCGAATCTCGGCTTGAATAAAAATGGTAATTTAGTATTTTTATCAAATAAATTAGTAGGAACTTGGACTTAGGATGTTGGTATTATTAAGTACTTCGCGCTTCGGTTATGTCGATTTGTCATTCCATTGGACTATAAAAGAGTAAGAGTCAAGTATTTAGTGGAATATATGTACATCTATAGATATAATAAAATTCTAACTGAGTCGAATCTGTACATTATATATGGCCGTTGCAGCGTTATTTGATTATTTAAATCTATTGAAAATAGGAAATAAAAATCACGCATTTCATTGAACACCTTTTTAATGTCACTATTTTTTCTTTTCGCAAAATCTGTCACAAACGTAATTTAAAAAAGTTAATAAAAAGTCTTAATAGAAACAGAAAATTAAAAAAGGATGTGTGTTTGTATTTGTGTATGTATTTATTTGTTACATTAAATATTTTTCTGAAAAATCTTATTGAAATAGTCATTATTATTGATATAGAGGCCGAATGGAGGTATAGTTTTTAGAATTATAATGTATGGTCTATCTGTCTGTTTGTGAACGTATCAAGAGAAAACGGACACTGCACTGGACAGATTTTTATAAAATTTGGCATGATGTTAGCTGGTAATCTAAGTCAACATATAGGATATATAGGATACATAGAGGAAATATTGCGGCAAAATATTTCATCTATGAGAAATCTATACTAAATGTTAAACCAGAAAATTTTGTTATTACAAATGCTAATAATTACAAATGCTACTAACTAAGGCAAGTAGATTCCTCACTGGGAGTAGAAATCCATTAGGAAAGGGTTTTTGGTAATCCAACCCCTGAAGTGGTAAAAAATGCTAGGAATTTGTATTAAAATCTGTTTTATTTAAACTACGCGGCCGGAGGCAAATGCTAGTAGTACAGCATAGGTAAGTGTGTTAAGTAAATGTTTTTCCGAACATTTGAGTTTAGTATAATCGTAATTATGTTTTATCTTGCATAGATTGCTCATATCAGGGAGATTGACCGCCATGACCGGAATCGGTCAGAATAAGGGAAAATATCCTAATACTATAATTATATCTATCTACATATCTATCCTAATACGGTACTTACGGTTCCTATACTCACTTAGAAATTTAAATGTGCAAAAGTTTTAACATTTTTCACCCTAAATGATCCATAATGTTAGAAATAGTCGAAGTTTATTATCGTTTATACTAGCCATATAAAGCAGCATTGTTAAGGATACTGGTTTTACGCACAAGTAGCTTTTAGGTGCAAACATATTTTTTAACAAGTAAAAAGCACGACATAGAGTTAAAAAAGCCAAATATTTTTTTTTAATATACATAATAAACTAGTGACTAACCGTCGTCGTCGTATTGTTGATTGGTTGCTTCCCCATACAAACTTTGATCCCCATTTTCATTTCGATATTCGCAATAAATATACGAAAATGTGTTAAAAGTTTCAAGTTTAGTAGAAAGTACCTACATTAATATCGCCGTTTAAGATTAGATAACAGAGTTAGTCAGTTGCCTACAGTGACAAGTGAAGCTTAAAAAACGTATTAAAAATAATTTAACATAGTGTTTATTAGAATTTTTCACCCTTCATTAAACCCATAGTATGGTGTTTCGTATCGGGATTCAGGCTTCTCTTGGTTGGTCAATAGGGATGAAATCAAGCAGTTAATTGCATTAAGTAATTTAAGATGTTACTTTTTCTCCGATAAAATTGATGACATAGTAAATTATTTACTATTACTTTATCTTAAATATTAAATTAATAAAAAATTTCTCATGAAAATTTTCATAATCCATATTAAAAATTATAAATATACTAGCGACTCCCCCTCGCCTCGCTCGGGTTATTTACGTTTTAACGTTTATTCACTTAGTATCGATTTCTCAAAGATAAAATATTTTCCCGCAGTAAAAAGTGTCCTATAATATGTTGACCCGGATACCCAGCTATCATCACATCAAATTTTATCAAAATCTATCCAGTGGTTTTCTCGTGATGCGTTCCCAGACAGGCATAGAGACAAAATTCTAATAACTATAGATTCGACCTCAGTATCGATAATAATGACTATTTCAATAAGATTTTCCAAAAAAATATTTGATGTAGGTACAGATTCGACTCAGTTAGAACTTTATTATACCTATGTATAGGTTTATAATATCATTAAAAATTCTTCAAGCTTTGCGATCATTTAGGTTCCTGTTAGGTACGTGATTCAAGCTGCATTTTTCTGTTTTAAGAATGGCCACTCTTATATTTAAATACCGTGTGCACACTCCGAGGAAAAAGGATTCGGAAAATCTTCTTAGAATGTTATTCGTCTTAAGAAAAATGTGTGAATAATAAAGAAATAAAAAGTTCCTTCCCTTTCCTTGGCTAGAGCTTACATATAATTAATTAGTAATATAGATAGTCATCTTTTAAAACTAAGAAATAAGGAACGCTCTTAATAATTTGTAATATAATAAACAAAATGTGTTATTATTATTTATGTACTTAGTTACAAGTGAAGAAAATAAAAACATTTCACTTTTTAAATTTTTTCTACACTCAAATGGAATTTTGTTCGAAATTTATATGGGACCACACAATAATCGATTAGGTAATTAATAAAAAAACACATAAATCGATTTATAATTGGCGAAGATATCGCGTAACATACATTTAAAAATCAATACCTACGCCAAACTGAGTACCTCCTCCATTTTAAATTTGATAACAAATATATAGGTAAGTAATACTATAAAAGTATTATTATGCCTACTACTTACTAAGTAATATGTAAAAAAATTAATAGTCAATATGTAAGTAAGGTATGTAAATTAAAATAATGTAAGTTAAAATATGATAAAAATAAATAATAATAAATTTACTAGAAAGGTTTCAACTTGAAACACTTAAATGTCATTTATTTGTAGATTTTTCTTTATTTATAAAAAAATATTGGCTAAAATATCCCGTATATATACTTAGTACATAGGTAAATGCCTCGGTGGTGTAGTGGCTAGCATGTACGGCTGCACACTCGGAGGTCCTGGGTTCGAGTCCCGGGTCGGGCCAAGTTTAGTTATTGAGTCTTTCTGTATAGTAAGTCTCATTAACAGCCCGGAGTTGGGAAGTTGGCGGTGTTTCACCCCCGTGCCTCGGAGAGCACGTAAAGCTGTCGGTCCTGCGCCTTAACTCTCACTGGTCGTGTCGAGCAGTCGTCCCACCGGAGTA